GATTTCAACTTGAATGGAAAGTTATATGGAGTCACAATGTTCATAAAGAACGTCAGTGACGAGGATGGTCCAGACCGTATCACATGGGATGCATGCAAAGAATGGAAAATCATCCAGACCGAAATGGCAATAAAGGCCGTCTCAACAATATCCACCAATCATATACAACTAACTTTACAACGATAATTAAAATACATACTTCGATATCTACATTTTACAAAATTCAAATTTGAGTATAAGTTAAATGTTGTTAAATGGTATATTTAAAACATGTATGCTTTTGTTGTAATTGTGTATTTTTTTTATAATCGCCATTTCCTGGCCGCCCATCATCATTTATTTACCCCCGATAAATTACCTTGCCTACTTTCAAATTGAGACATCATGTGTCTAAGTTTAGCCTAAAAATCTGACCACTCTAAGGATATATATTCTGAAATGATTTGCGTCCGTTGTCCTTACATTGCTGTAGCAATAAGCAACACTTGAATCAAATGTGGAACAGATGATCTTTGTTTATGAGTGACTTTAGTATAGCTTTTATAGAATAGATTTTATAGTCTTTCAATCGAATCGCCCGGAGGCAATTTTTCTCTGTATATCGTGTATATCAATAAACTTGAGTATAATATTATTCTATATTTTGTTCTTTGGTCAGTTTTCTTTCGAATGGATTTCAGATTATATAATAGCACATACCATGGTCGGCATTATATTTGATTATCAATAGAACAATTTGAAAGAGAAATAAAACTGGTTTAACTGGCTATTTTAGAATAAAAAAAAATGATTGCACATACATCAATCAATTTTACTGTGGTCGCTTTTACATAAAACATAACAATATCAAAAAAACTACAAAGCTATTATTCAGAAGTAGGGCTGTCCAAAATCGATTTTTTTACTTGATTTGAATCGAATATTTTTGCCGAATCGTACCGAATATTATCATAAGTATTCCCATCATGAGATATTACAAATTCCATTGAAAGAAGGTATTGCCATCATAAGGATCCCACAATACCTGTTTTTGCTTTGAGTTGCATGTACCATGTTCCTATGATAACTAACTCAATAGCTTCAAATCGATTATATTTATAGAACTATCGTTTTCTAAGATCTAAATTGCCCTTTTCTCCTTGTTCTCTCTCAAAAACGTCATTAACGATTATAACTTTTAAGTTATGATGAACTGCATGAAATGTCTAATCACTTGTCACCAAGCCTTAGGAATGACATGTTTATCGCAAAATAAGGGCGAGAAAAATATCGGGACACCAATTGAGCCAGGAGCGAGAGTTGTCTAAGCTCGAAGCGCCGCCGCTTTCCCGACGAAAAACGTCCTGCAAAGGTGGTTTAGAGCCTTCTCCGCTTTATGTACATAATTAATTTTAGCGATTCGAAAATTAGCCGAAAAACAAATTGAATAATTTGCGATTCGATTTCATTTCGAATATTTGGTTCGCTTGGACATCCCTATTCTAGTCGATCATATATCAGGGAACGAAGTTAAGAACGTACAAAAATAATACAAACCAATAACAACGAAAGCACAATGTATAGAAAACATATTGGGCCATATTTGTATGTGAAGATTTTGCAATGTAGTGGAGCATGTCCCTCTGAACCCCGGTTTATTGTTCACCATAGCAAAAAAAATTATTTCAGACCATCTCACGTCAAGATCAGGAAAACGCATGTACTCACCAACATTATGAATATTTCCCAATGGACTAGAACTAAAAAATACTAGACAGTGGTTTGTTCTTTGGGAAAGCCTGGAGTAGAAAAAAGAAAAAGACTGATATGGCAAGATTTTAGTTTGAACCTTCCGAAACTAGTTTCATCTCATTGCTTGCGTCGCTATGCACTGCCGCTGGCAATTTGCAGGGATGTTGTAACTTGCCGAAAGGCGTATTCAAATATCGAAACGCGAACCTGATATAGCATGAGTGTGAGAGATGTATTTTCCACTGTGCCTCATGTCCCACCTTCCCCTACATACGTGGGCTACTTAGCACCCATGCATTTATCAAAGTAGAATAAAAATTACTTCTCGCGATTGTACAGTGTTCAGGCCAAAATGAGATGAACAACACACTAAAATTGCCAGAACCGCTAAGAACAATTATTAGATAAAACGAGGACAAGTCGGTGGACGCCCAGAATCCCCGCTTATACTTAATGTGGCCCGACCTCCAGCAACACGTTATCATTCACGCAAAATTGGACCCAAAACGACGGCGACCCTAGTAGTGTGCCTTCCACGTGAAGTCCGGATTGATATTTTGTTTCCATGACATCAGTGAAAAACGCGCAGATCGTTGAGAAATTTCTTGTTTTTCGCCATTATCTCGAAAATTTCAATCCCAAGATAACTACCTACGCAGAAGTGTGAATACTCTTTCCATCCAGCCAATTTCATCTCGGTTATCCATGAACTAGGGGGAGAGTTAGGAATTTTAGTTAACATGATTAATTATTTGGCTCGACTGCAGGCGACGACGAGAAACAACTAGGTTAATTTATTCCCTTTTCCACAACCAAACTCCACTTTGCCATGGACAAACTGTGCATAGAATTAGCTATTCCTCAATACACTTGGTGGCTTCTATTTAATGCGCCTCGCTGTCTTCTTGAGTGTTGCTGGATTTTTCGAGTGTCAGTTTTGTACTTATGTATGTTCGTCTCATTAAATAGCAAATTCTACGTTAACAGTCGAAAATGACAATTCTACGCTATCTGCCGGCGTTAGAACGGTTTGCAGTAGTAATCTGACGGGGCAAGTTCTCAACACGAGATTTTCCTTTCTCTAACAAAGCAAAAAGCATTTGCCTTCGGTCCGGCCATCAATAACTCTGCCAAAGCTGGCGGGTCGCACCAGCTTGTCACGCCTTATGTCCTCATAAAATTGATTGTTTGGATAAGACATTGTTACGTAAGAAAATATAAACTTCATGTACCAAACATGTTGCCACAAACTCAGCTTCTGCATGTTTCTTTCTGTAGAATATTGCGGATAAATTTTAGTGACCACTTTACGAATAATGCAGATGCATTAGGTGGGAAAGTCATATATTATTCAGCTGAACTTATGTAATCAAAATGAAATAAAATCAACAAGTATCCAGAAATATAACTAGAAAGAGCAAATTTTTTTGGTCAGTATAAATCTGGCAAAGAAGAATCGAAAGTTAAATAACTCTTTCCTTGCATTTAGTATAGCGGCGAGGTCGTAGACTCTCCAGTTTCTCGTCCCTTTTTGTGTTTCATCGCACTGAGTAATAAGTGATTTTGGCCATAATGAGCCATTGCAGGATAATATAAACAAATCCGCTCAGCGATTTCTTAGAAAACTACTGTACTTATTGTGATTACCCAATAGCTGCATGACATACAGGTTTAACAGTATACGTAGTGTGTTTTATTGTTGTTGAGATGGATTTTAAGACTTTTATTTACCATAGGCTACATGATACAAGCAAGGGTGCTTTCTCATCTGCAGAATGTCATTGATGATCATCCGCAGTATCGAAGCAATTGATGGAGCTAAATTGCATAAATACAGACTGGTATGAGCTTTTCCTTAATAAAATATTAACACATGGGCATAAATGAAACTCCAATGGTTGATAGACATATCAACTTTTTATGCTCAAGATAAAATATAATTTCATTAGTGGCTTAAAATAGAGTAATGGAAAACAATAGGTAACCGTTTTGTGCTCGTTTTGCCCTTCAATCACGAGTTTAGACATCTGCTTACAAGTTATACCTTATATAAATATTTACAAAAGTTTTATTTGCTTGGATATTAGAAGTGACTTACCTAAGAAGGGAGAAAAGTAAATATGAAACGCATGATTGATTGAGAAGGTAGATTTTCATTTAAAACGTTCAAATAGAACAGCTGGGATTCAAGATGGATTGAGCCTGATAAATATGCTAGATTAATCCACCATTTTCTACACATCTTGTACTGGGCGAACTTGGAATTTTTATTATGTATTGATTTTTTTTGTAAATTTCGAAATCAATATGGTTAACAAAAAATTGAGTACTCAAGTAGTATGTGTACAAGGTTAGGGTTAGGCCATAATTTTATTCCAATTTTCCTTATTTTAGTTCTTCTGAGAGTTCGGGGACTGTCTGTGTTAGTCAAGTGAATATACCCCATGCCCATAGGTTTCAGTCCCTTTACACAACTTGATGCAAAATAGACAAACAAAATTAGTAACCGCCATATTGATACACATTTTTCTGGAACGCCAAAAATTGTTCCTTCAAGGATCAAGGCCCCGCGCACTTGATTTTTACATTTATTTGAGCTCTGCGTATTAGTCACTCGGCGGGGAACACATATGAATTAGTTTTGTCAAGCTCTATTACCTGAATGTGACGACGGATAGACATAATGACTTTGTAAGATATTGAGCAGGAATGACAAACCAAAAAATCATTAGGCCACGCATTGTAGCGGTACTTCTGCCTGCTAGTTTGAATATAGAGACGAGCACAGGTGTCGGACTTATTGTATAGCCTACGTCTCACGATAATTAAAGAATAGTACCACACTTATAGAAAGTCTATTATATTGCGTCCAGTTCGTGAGTATAGCCTAGTACCAAAATTATTTTAATAAAATTTTTGAATACCAGAAACCTCATCACCGTAGCGTCCGCTATACAAGTATGGATAGTGATGACATAAAAGGCAAAACCACATAGAAGAGAGCTAAGTGGAGTTGTAAGTTAATATGAAGCTTAAAACTGTTTTGCTGCTAAAGTGACTGAGTGGGGTACAGCTACCGTAAATAGGGCACTGTTAAAAAAGTCAGTTGATGTACGTTTAAATATCATTCTACAGTAACTTCAATACTGTTAAAAAGGCAACAGTAGTTGAACGCTCAAATAGCATTTCGCCGTAATTTTTTAATAATGTCAAAAGACGTCAGTTGTTGAACGTAGAACTCTCGAAACTGACAAAAGAACAAAAGTGAATAATTTTTTTTTCAACCAAGTTTATTGATACACACGTTCACCCAAACAAAAATTGCCACGGCCATTCGTTTGAAAGTTTAAAGTATTAAAATCACCTAGAAGCTATACCATAGCCTATTACACACAAAGATAATTTGTACCACATTTGATTCAAAAGTTACATATTGCTACAATAAAGAAAATGGACGCAAATCATTTTATAATATGGACCCATTGTAACCTGATTTCAAACGACTTCAACTGACCACATTTTAGAGCTAAATTTAGACACAAAGTGTCTCAATTTTAAAGTCGGCAAGTTAGTCTATTGGCGTTAAATGATGATGGGCGCCCAGAGAATGATAATAACAATGAAAAATACCTTTTCTATAGCGAAAGCATACATGTTTTACATCTACCATAGATATCATTTTAACTTACACTCAAATTTGAAACTTAAATTTTTTAAAATGTAGATATCGAAGTATGAATTTTATCTATTGTTGTAAAGTTAGTTGTAAATGATTGGTGGATATTGTAGAGACGGCCTTATCGCCATTTCGGTCTGGACGATTTTCCATCCATTGCAAGCATCCCATGAGACACGGTCTGGACCATCTTCGTCAACGACGTCATCTTCCGGCAATGGGAACATTGTGACGCCATATAACTTTCCATTCAAGTTGAAATCAGTGCAGCGATTAAACCACCAGCCACCGCCGTAAGATTTTGCGCAATTTCCATCTCTCCACTGGTCGTTGTCACTATCACGTGCCGTGAACTCCATGCCATTGTGCATGGCAGCAAAATCAACACTTGCTTGCTCAGGAGTTGGAGTTATCCTCAGTTTGAAATTTTCCTTTTCGTCACCGATGGAAAATTGGCTGTGAATAAAGGTAATCAAAATGTTAAAAGATTACATCAAGATGGAATGCTTAGGAATGAATTGTATAATTACAGTACGTATATTAATTAGCGACAATGAAACATGACCCACTTTATACAGTGAACGTTGCAATGTTTTCTAAGTCTGTGACAGAGGTAAATACCGAAAGAACAGATTGCTTCTTATAAACTGGATTTAGTTAGAGAAAATATCAATAATTTGAGACTCATGAGAGTAGCTTATGCAATACCTTAAAATAAGGGGTGAGCAATTACTGTTCCGCGTGGGCCAGCTATAGATAATAGACTTCGTTACTGGGCGTAGGCTCCAAACTCAATATAAAAACTATGAATACCAACAGTTTATTTACAAAAGATAGTCCAACATCTAGGCTAACCTTCATTAAATATTAATTCTATAGTTTAACAATCAGGGCCATTATGACGTTTATTTTCATCGATATTTTCAACGAAATTTATATCCATAACAACTGTAGTTGTTATTTCAGCAGACATGAGAGAGCCGAATGAAACACTTCGGAGGGCCGGATCCGGCCCACGGGCCATAACTTGCCCACCCCTGATCTAGATTGAATTGAATGAACAGATGTTTTTTCGGTACTCCCGAAGTATGTGAACCAAGATGGCGGACAACGCAACGTAGTACGTGTACCAGGTTAGGGTTAGGCAATAATTTTATTCCAATTTTCTATTACGAGCTCGGGGACTAGTCAAGTGACTCCCGTAGTATTTGTACCTGTAAATAAAACCTATTCCCAACCTGGTACACATACTACTTTCCGGTGTCCGCCAACTTGGTTCACATACTTCGGTAGTACCGAAAAAGTCATGGATTAAGGTAAATTACTCAAACCTACTCAAAATAAGTCGTGAATTGTCGTCCATCCGCTAATTTTACAGTGATTCTCAGTTCATGTGGAACAGTACTGGTGAAATGGCGAATTGCTTGCAAACCTAAAAGTAAGATGATGAAATTGCGATAAAGTTAATTTATTGTTTTATACTAGTGGCACTCAAACTTTTTTCTTCCGTGGCTCAATTTTTTTGCAAGAATATTCTGTGGCACAATTATTTTTTCATGTAAGGGAAAAACTACAAGACAAGTAAAAACTGTGTCCGCATAACAAGACACTCTCACTTTAATAATTAGAATGAAAACTAACCCCTAATTATCGCCACTACAATCAAAACTTAACTATAGTGACACAAATAAAAAAAAATTCAACAACTTTAGTAATTTTAAATAGGTTTGTGGCCCACCTGGAAGTGTTGCTGTGTCCCAGCAGTGGGCCATGGCCCACTGGTTGAGAAGCAGTGCTCTATTCAGAAGAATTACAAATTCCTAAACAGCAGAATTTATTAAATGGATCCTTACCCATCCAATAGTCTCCCGTTGGCATCCCAAATCCATGAATGTAATGTCTCAAATCTCTGTCGAATGATTCCATGTCCAGGTATCGGCGCTGCATAACCTGATAAATAATAATAAAAAAATTGAATCTTGTGAAAAATGTGAAGAAGAAAGCAAATAATAAAGAAAATACAAACAAGGAAACGGGAGAGAAAGCGAAAAGCTGTAAGAAGTATGACATACCATCCATCCGCTTCCACTTTCTCCAACGCTGCAGTCACAATAAAACCACGTTCCGTGTGAAGATATTTCAGACGGCCTTTTGTAGTCAAAAAAATCCGTTCTACCACGTGTTGCCATTCCAATTGGGTCGTTATTGGCTTTAGTCGTCTTTGAACAAACGTCCATGCAATCAAGAGGAGCGACTATAATTACAATTTTATAATAAATTGGCAACAATAATAAATATGCACTATATACGACGACCACTGGATTTCATACGGCAAATGGTGAAAAAAAATTGTAGTGTATCTCAGTTCATATCAATATTTTAACATTATTTCATCTCGTCTAACCTGAATCATCGCATTTTCCTCCCCGGTTGTGTATAAATGTCAGTGAAACACTGTTGTCGGGATTGACTCTGGATTGTGGTGTCACGCATCTCAATTTTTTGTCACAATCACCCTCCATATTGAAGTCACCACCGCATGTTTCACCTTTTTGTTTAGCACATCTATTGCAGCAGCTGAACAAAATCAAACAAAAAATAGGTTTATGATTTTGGAGAACACGTACTTTGCTGAAATGTAATAGCAAATTGGTTTTTGTACAATAAGTATTTTTGCTTGTCCTAGTTTATATCGCAGGATCCAAGTTCGAAAAATCTTGTTATTAGAGATGCAGAATAAATTCGTCAGAAATACACTTACGGACAAATTCCTGGTGCTTCGCTTCCGGGGCAATTTAATTTCGGACATTCTCTTTTGACTTTAACTTCAATACCTTCGGGATTGAGCAGATGTTCTTCACAGGGAAGACAAGTCAGGGTGTTTGCTGAGTGAAACAAAGTCAAACCAAGCAATATGGTCACTCCGATAATGTTCATGATGTTTGTATTTTTAAACTGTTAAAATAATAATCAAGGGTTACTCAAAACATGTGGCGGGGCAGGCTTAGCAATATTATTCTATAACTTTTTTGTCATTGCTTTTAACAATCCTGTTGACGCTCGTAATTCATTTCCTATCTACCTTTGCGTGTGCAATTGATTATAGCCATAACTCATTGTCACTGTTTCCTAGCGCAAGTTTCTTTTGTTTTACGAACAACTTTATAAAAGGACAGCACCAATTTAGTAACCACAGTGTTAGTGCGATGTTGTAACTGTGATTGAAGCAGTTTAATCTCGTTCATTTATATACGAAAAGTGTATTAATTTCTCTCGTCTACTTGCTCTTCGTACTCAATTATTGCAAAATATTTGTTAGCCGCAGGTCATGTCTGTTTCGTTGAGCTAAGCTGACATTTAGCCTATGTTTTAAAAATAAACTTGATTCAAATTTAAATCTCCAGTTTGAAAGTTTTGAGAAATCTTTTCTATTAATAAGTGAACTGAATTTTTTTTCACTTTCGAGCTACGTCATACAAATACAACTACGAAAAATATGAAGATGGTTGAAAGAATATGTGAACGAAATAGTAAAAATAATAATAAAATGAAATCGATTGCGAATGGAAACTAGAAGCATTGTGTTCGTGATAGAAATAACTGCGCTAGCTGTCTCTGTAAGTAAGATACCCGTCAAATCTAAACTTAAAAAATACCACAAGTAAAGCTTTCATATTTGTATACGTGATTAAAATCATGGCAAGATTAATCCTCCGTCTGTCACTCGTTTGCATCAAATTATAAACGAATTAAAGCATCAAAAACAAAATTTCAACATGGATCCAGAATCGGATAATCTTTCCAATAATTTAGAATTAATGAGAGACTCATGCGTATGCTGGAATGCTTATGTAGCTTTCAGGTGTAATTATGATACAGATTTTAGTCTGCATTTAATTTTCCTAAAAAACACATTTAACATATTTCACCGATAATAAGCAGTTTATTTTACCTTACATTATACAATGAATATATTGAAGTGTGAGAGATGTGCTATAAAATGTAATTTATATTTCAACGAAGAAAATGCCGATATTGTTTTGCAACTGTTTACGTGCAATGTTACATACAATTCATTTCTCTCAGATTACGTCATATAGTCATCATTACCACAGTCCCTTAGGCGTCATTATTTATACAGAGGCTTGTTTGGAATAAAATGCCTGGTAGAATGACAAAGCACAACTTTTAAGGTCAATGCAATATTGGTACTCCCGTAGTATGTGCACCTGGTTAGAGTTAGGCCATAATTTTATTCTGGTCTTCCATATTTTATTTCTATTACGAGTTCGGGGACTGGATGTGTTAGCCAAGTGAATACACCCCCTGCCCATAGGTTTCAGTTCCTTTATACAACTTGATGTAAAGTAGACGAACAAAATAAGATACCTCCACATTGCTACACACTCTTCTGGAGCGCCGCAATATTTATAACACGATGCATCAATTAATGGAGATTCTTGAGGAAACATTTATTGACATGAATGAATAAAATGTGATAAAATTTGTGATCGCTCGCTAAAATGTCATAAACCAGAGAATGTTGAAAATAAACAAAAACTTGATTTGATAAACTGCTCCAATTATCGTTGTTTCGTGCTTTGGGCAGAAGTTTGCATGGACTTCAACATAATTTTAAGTCTGAAACGATTCTTCAAATTAGAAGTCTTCTTTTAGTTTCAGGGAAAAAACAGAACAACTTAGTAGTGAAAGTTGATCCATAGTTTTCTTTTTGTTTCATTTGAACCACCAACTACACATCCACTATAGTGCGTGAGAGCGCATATATGCTAATTATAATAATGGTTCGAAATAAGTACACAAAACGCTATAATTGCCTTTGAACTAATGCGAAATTATGCGGAAGAGGTCTAATACTGCGGCATCAACGGGATATACTAATTTGCTTTCGGTTATGGCAGGGTGGACTTTTAAAAAATCGAGTCTTGCAAACGAAGTTCACGGTACGGCATGCGGTAAAAAAGGAAAGGCGCTCCCAAAGTATATGCATCAAGATGGCGCACAACCTGAACCCTAACATGGTACACATACTATGTTCGGGTTGTGCGCCATGTCGGTGCACATACTTCTGGAGGTTTAAAAGAAATTAGTAGCATTGTCCACGAATCATATTCCAAAACGTGTAAAACCACGTTAGAACATATTTAACTTGAAATTTTTGCATAACCGTATGAATGCAAACTTTCTACACCTTTTTGGAAACCTGGAACTTTTCATGTCGTTCCTAACTACTTGAAATTATCTAGCTTTTACCAACATTTTACATTTGTCTTGTCAATATTTAACTCAACTAAATCCTGGTTCATCCTTAAACAATTCAAAGTTGAGTTTTCAAATAATTATACCAAATCAATTCGGGTAAGTATAATAAAAATATTATACATGGTGTTAAAAGAGGAGCGCAAAATTAACAGAAGTTAAGATGAAATGCCATTTAAACATTTCACGACTGACGCTTTTTAACAGTTTTTTTTTTAACGTCGCCATGACGAAAAAGTTCACCTCAATTTTGCGTAACTGTTGCGTAATTGTGGATGATTGGCAGATCTGGTACAACCTGCCGGAATGCCATTTCGGTCTGCACGATTGCCCACTTTTGACAAGAATTCCATGTGATACGGTCTGGTCCAGCTTCTTCGCTCATGATCTCTTCCGATAGTCGATAAAGTTTGAATTCCGAATAGTATTTCATTCAAGTTGGATTCAGTGCAGCGATTAAACCAACGATGGCATCCGCGTATGATTTTGCAAAAAAGTACATTAAAACCGGCCCGTATATATATGAGCCTACATGAAAGATTTTAAAATGCAAAAGTGTGGTGTCTTCATGTGACGAACAGAGTTCAGTCTCCTTTGGTGCTTTGATTCTAAGTGAGTGTTTGACCTTGCTTTGGGTAGCATTCCATTGCTAAATAGGAAACAAAAACTATGAAAAGTCTTATTAAATGTAAGGATATGATGAAAAATAAATCGAATTGATTTATTATGAAGAGGGGTAACATACTTGTAAGGCACAACGCGTTTTGTTTTTAGTCTTTTGGAAAATCGCCGAGCAAAAACGCGAATGTTAGGCGATAACTTGTGTTTTTATTATTGCCCTGATATACAAATCGAAATAAAAGCCACATTTACTCCATTCTGGTGTCGTGAGCCCGCCGTAGATGAGAATGAGATCAGCTATAAGTGTGCCTACTTAAAAATATATAGGGTGTCGATGAAGTCTTGAAAATTTAATTGCAAAATCGATACCATATATTGTTTTGACCATCACAGATGCATTAAATGAAGTAAAAATACTTGAACAAATACTGACTAAAAAACAAAAACCTGATTAAAACATTTTGAGAACTGACTTCATAACAAAGTTGTGAAGGGACTTTTCAAAATCCCTGTAGTACGAAACGAAAGACAATAAATGAATTAAAATTTAGCTCCCATTGAGTTGAGTAATGTTTTTATTGACTTCATTTTAACTCATTTTATTCACCTTCATACTTTAGTATGACATAGTAGTATACGTCATACTGTTGTTCCCTTAGTTATTGATCTTTCGATTTCGTTTCTATGAATATCAAATAAAAAGTATTATGAATAAAACGAAAACAACTGTTTTACGACTCCTAATTGTTAATCATACTTAGTTCAGGAATGGAATTATTGTATTTTAAGTCGATAATTTAATTTTTTCGTTAAAAAATCGTGATGCAAACTTTTTATCATGATTTAAAGATTTTTTACTTCGTCATAACCGCCGGTTCCAAATAATAAGAAATATTTTGAACGACGCCTAAGGGACTGATATTGATGACTATACGACGTAGTTTGGGAGAAATAAATTATTCGTAACATTGCACGTAAACAGTTGCAAAACAATATCAGCATTATCTTCGTTGCATGAAAAATGAATCATATTTTATAGCATAACTTTCACATTTTAGTATTTTCATAGAATTGATTAAAATCTGGAACAACAAACTGTTAATTAGCTGAGAAATGTGTTAAATACGATTTTTAATATTACCAAATGCAGACTAAGTGCTGTATCATGAATAGGTCATAATTGAAAGCGACATAGGCATTCTAGCATACAATAATTAAAAGCCGCATAGGCATCTTCGAAGCAATCTTGTTACAGATGGAGGATTCATCTTGACATGATTATGATCACGTATAGTCGTATACGAATATGAAATGTGCTTCAATTGTGTTATGTTAATGTTAAAAAGAGACGGATGTTTTACCTATTTAAAAATAGAATTAAAAGTAAAAGCCAATGAATGCTTCCAGTTTCAAAGATAAAAACGATTATTTATGATTCACTTATTATTAGAAACATTTTTTCTCAAAATTTTCAAACTGGAGATATAAATTTGAATCAAGTTTATTTTTAAACGATCGACTAATTTCATCTTAGTTCAACGAAGCAAACATGTCTTGCGGGTAATAACTATTTTTGCAATAATTGAGTACGAAGAGCATGTTGAGTAGAGAGATTAAGACACATCTTGTGTATAAATGAACAGGATTAAACTGCTTCAATCACAGTTGCAACATCGCTCTGAGATGCACAATGAGTGAAGCGGATTTATTTTCTAACAATACTGATGGGCATTTATATTAATACCACAATTAAGTTCCAAATTATTTTATTTTCAAAACGTTTCCTATGCGCGGAAATATCAAGTAATTACGGATTTGACTTGATGTTTGTGAGCGTCAAATGTGTACGTTGTGTACGACGTTCATAGAATCATTATCAAATTAAAGTCATATACTTTTTTCTAATTGTCATCTGCTAATATTAAAAGTGAAAAAAAATAGGAAAACTATGATATGTTCGATTCAGTAACGTTATTGCTTGTTCTTTTTTCATAGGCGTCATCTAGCTTCTGTTTGTCACTATTCCTTATTATCGAGCATTTGCTGATACAGTTTGAATCAGGGCATAGTAATTCTAATCCCCATACCTGAGTCCAATGTATTGTATTTGACTTGACAATGCCGTAAAAGCTAGCTTGTGCGATGCAAAACCACAAATGTCACAAGATTCCTAACCAAAATATTTATATATATAATATACAAGTTACTAAATTTATGCTGTCCTTGTATAAAGTTGTTGGTAGAACAAAAAGTTGATTTATGGCTACAATTAATTGCACACGCAAAGATTAATATGATATGAATTACGAGCGTCACCAGGATTGTTGGAAACTTTAGGAAGAAAGTTATAGAATAATATTGCTTAGCCTGTCGTGCCCTATGTTTTGAGTAACCCATGATTATTATTTTAACAGTGTAAAAATACGTACATCATGAACCTTATCGGGGTGACTATATTGCTTGGTTTGACTTCGTTTTACTCAGCAAACACGCTGCGTTGTCTTCCCTGTTATCAACTTGTGCTCGATCCTGAGGGAAAAGAAGTTAAAGTTAAAAGAGAATGTCCAAAACTAAACTGCCCCGGAACCGGAGCACCAGGCGTTTGTCAGTAAGTGTATTCCTGACGCATTTATACTACACCTCTACTCTTATAGGAATAATAAACTTTTTCCTGCGATATATATAAACTAGAACAAGAGAAAATATATTTTGATCAAAAACCGATTTGCTATTGTAAACAGTTTTTATTTTATTTTCATTACATTAGACTTCAGCAAAGTATGTGTTGTCCTAAATAGTAAGCTTTTTTTGTCTGATTTTGTTCAGCTGTTGTAATATAAAGCTGTTGTTGCTAAATAAAAAGGTGAAACATGCGGTGGTGACTTCAATATGGAAGGGGATATGTAACACCACAAACCAGGTAAAATCCCGACGGCAGTTTTTTCCTAGCACCTCCAAACAACCGAGGAGGAAAATGCAAAGATTCTGCGAGCATTGGAGAAAGTCATATCCCCATTGAAACTTGAGAGGGATTTCAAGAATTTATTAGTTAGGCGGAGGACTAGGGCAAGAATAGTAGCAGGGAAATTAAATTTAGTTTTATCTGATCAATAAATTGTTGTTTCAACAAATTGTTAGTCGATATAACACAACTTTGTTCGGTGTCAGATTACCGGGGGTTCGCGTTGATCGTTTCGTGACTCGGGGGGCACTTGACAGAAAAAAGGTTGAGAACCCCTAGATTCTAGATACACTTTAATTTTATTTTCACCATTTGGCATATGAAAGCCAGTGGTCGTCGCAAATAGTGCACATTTATGCTAATTCATTATAAATTTGTAATTTTAGTCGCTCCTCTTGACTGCATGGACGTTTGTTCAAAGACTACTAATCGCAATAACGACCCAATTGGAATGGCAACACGCGGTAGAACGGCATTTTTTGACTACAAAAAGCCGAGTGAATCATATTCACAGGGAACGTGGTTTTATTGTGATTGCAGCGATGGAGAAAGTGGAGACGGTTATCAGGTTATTCAGCGACATAACCTGGATATGCAAGCATTCGACAGAGATTTGAGAAGTTACATCAATGGATTTGGGATGCCAACTGCAGACTATTGGATGGGTAAGGATCCATTTTATCAATTATGTTGTTCAACAGTTTATAATTCTTCTGTATAGAACAATAAATCAACTTTGATGTAATTAAATCATCATCTTGCTTTTAGGTTTGAAAGCAATTCGCCATTTCACCAGTACTGCTCCACATGAACTGAGAATTACTGTAAAATTAGTGGATGGGCGACAATTCACGACTTATTTTGAGTAAGTTACGCTTAAATAGTTTTTCAAAAATAATTGAACATTGAAGTAATTTATGACTTTTTGTGCAAAAAACATCTTTTTATTCAATTCAATTGTCCATCTAGATCAGGCATGCACAACATACGGCCCGCTAGATACTTCTGTGCGGCCCGCGGTTGATTTGGAAACACGCCACTTCTCGGGTCTAACAATCAAAGCCGGCATTTTTATTTATGCAAGCGAGCCGCTACGCCGATCATATTCGAAATCGGGAGATTTATTTTTACCACTAGTTTCAATAAATATCGAACTTTGTGTGAAATTGGTGTGCCCTTCGCGACCCTTAAAATTCGTCGCTCGACCTCTCGCCCCTAGTTTGGAAAACCCTGATTTAGATATCTCAGTGTTCAAACTGAATCACGCTTAAAACAATATCGGTACAATCTCACACCCATTAGTGCATATTAGCTACCTATTGATAATCTCACTATTTTTTACTAGCAGTTTATGAAACTGTAGTTTCTTTTTCAAATTTAGAACTTAAAAACAATTCCTTCATTTATGAATGGTGCAGAAATTCTCGCATAAAAGATTTTGCTATTTACTGTTAAATTTCAAAAAATTGGAGCATATTTTGTAGAAAAATGTAATTTAACAGTCGAAAAAATACAACAGAGGAAAATCTATTGATACTAAACGGATTGTTTGTCCAGCCTACAATGGAAATATCCAAAAATGTTAGATATGAGTATATAAATTGTCATACATATATTTGGGACGATTTTACAAAACTGAACCTGAGTAAAATATTTTCCTGCAGTCAGTTTATACTGCAACACGCAATACCTAATTCTAATAAAAAAGAAATATTGAAAATGAAGGGTGGGTTTTCAAGGTAGTTGAACCACTCAATACATATTTGCCATCTCATATGCAAAAATACTGTACCTTGTTTTTACTCAAGAAAATAAGATTCTTCATAATTTTAAGCCCCCCAGTAAAGAAAGTGTTTCATTAAGTTTAACTGTTTTAGAATATTATTTTGATTTGTAGTTCATTTTGTGAAATATGTATGTGGCAAAGTTTGCGGCCCGCCGAGCGTTCAAACTTATGCTTGCGGCACTCGTGGTAATTTGAGTTGTGCAGGCCTGATCTAGATCTTAGAGGTAGAACCAAATTTACTTTCATTGGTGTCAAAATATTATTTCCTTCTATTTCTCATTCGCTCTCACTAAATCTAGATCAGAGATTATCAACCTTTTTTCCTTCCGTGGCTCCTTTTCGTTGCACAAAATTTCAATGACCCATTAACTTTTTATGCAAGCACTGCAGAAAAAAACTATGTCCGTCAAAACAGACACTTTCATTTTACTAATTAAAATAAAAATTCCCCCTCAGTAGTAAAAAAACAGCACCATCATACCTTGCTACTACAATAAAACTTAACTATAGTGACACAAATAAAACTAAAATTAACAATACCTCAAGGAATTCTAATAAGTTTGTGGCCCACCTGGAAGTGTTGCTGTGGCCCAGTAGTAGACCATTGTCCTTTGATTGAGAACCAGTGATCTTGAATAAAAAAAACTATTGTTTTGGATCTTTGGTCTGTCACAGACTTAAAAGACATTGCAACATCCGCTGAAAAAGAGGTCATGTTTCATTGCCACTAAACAATATATTGTATATCAATTTGGATGAGCATGTAATTATACAATCAGTCCATAGGTATTCCACGGTTAAGGTATCTTGACGCAGTCATTCAATGTTCCGATTAACAATTACACAGCCAATTTTCCATCGGTGACGAAAAGGAAAATTTCAAACTGAGGATAACTCCAACTACTGATCAAACAAGTGTTGATTTTGCTGCCATGCATGATGGTATGGACTTCACAGCGCGTGACAGTGACAACGACCGGTGGAGGGATGGAAATCGCGCAAAATCGTACGACGGTGGTTAGTGGTTTAATCGCTGCACTGATTTCAACTTGAATGGAAAACTCTATGGAGTACCAATGTTCATAAAGGACGTCGGTGACGAGGATGGTCCAGACCGTATCACATGGGATGCTTGCAAAGGAATGAAAATCATCCAGACCAAAATGGCGATAAGGCCGTCTCTACGATATCCACCAATCCTTTACAACTAACTTTACTACAATAGTCAAAATCCATATTTCTATATCTATATTTTTACAAAATTTAGGTTTCAAACAAGTATAAGTTAAATGGTATACTTAAATGTATGCTTTCATTATAAAAGTGTATTTTTTAACCATTGTCATTCCCTGAATGCCCATCATTTTAATCCCAATAAACTACTACTACCAATCATTTACAAATTACTTGAAACGATAATTAAAATCCATACTTCGATATCTATATTTCACAAAATTCAAGTTTCAAATTTGAATAAAAGTTTAATGATATCTTTGGTATATTTAAACATGTATGTTTTCATTATAAATGTGTATTTTCTTATAATTATTACCATTTCCTAGCCGCCCAACATCATTTTACGCACAATAAACTAACTTGCCTAATTTGAATTGAGACATCTTGTGTATGAATTTAGCCTCAAAATTTGAATACTTGAGGTCGCGTCAATTCATGTCACAATGGGTCTACATTCTAAAATTAACGGCAGGGCGCGCCCCACACAGGCGGAGAGGATAAGTTTTTGGGTGGGCGTAAAGCTAATTTAAATATTCGTTAAATTTAAACTTGTCGGCCTTTTGTCCGCCATCCACGTATTTTCAGCGTGGTTTCTAATTAAAACATACTTTTGCCTTACTATCTGTTATTTATAGCTCATTCTTAGCTAGTTATTTGAGGTGTTTGCGAGACTTGCCAAATTCAAAAAAGGGGGGGCGCAACTTGAAAAGTTTTTGAACCTCTGTTCTAGTAGATTTTATTCGTGGCATTCGGCAATTTGTCTCTAGACAAATATATATATAGTCGGCATTATATTTGATGATCTAAAGAACAATTTAGAAATGAACTGGCTATTTTGGAATCCATATAAATGAATGCACATACATCAATCAATTTTACTTTGGTCCCTTTTCATTAAAACAAAACAATATAACAATAACAAATAAACTACATAGTTATTTGTTCAGAAGTCGACCATATTATGGAATGAAGTTAAGAACGTAAAAAAATATACGCGCCCGATAACCAAAACAATGAAAGCGCACGGTATAATAAACATATTCGATATAAAATAGGACAATAACTACTCTATCAATTCAAGATGCAAATACACTACATACATAGGCTACTTAGCATTCGTCCATTTATCAAAGAAGAATGAATATCACCTTTTGCGATTGTAGAGTGTTTAGGCCAGAGTGAGATTAAAAACACTAAAATTGCCGGAACCGTTAACAACAACTAGTAGAAAAAATGGTACTTCCGTAGTATATGAACCAAGATGGCGGACACCGGATCGTATTATGTGTACCAGGTTAGTGTCAGGCCATAATTTTATTTTAATTTTTCATATTTTCTGGGACTAGCCAAGTGACTCCCGTAGTATTTGTACCTGACATTATGGTCTTACCCTAACATGGTACACATACTACGTTCCGTTGTCCGCCATCTTGGTTCACTACGGGAGTGCCGTAAAAATGAGGACAAGTCGGTCGGCGCTGATACCTTAGGTGGCCTGACCTCCAAAAACACGTTATCATCCACCAGAATTGCACCTATAACGACAGAAACCCTGCTAGTGTGCACTTCACCTGAAATCCGGATTGATATTTTGTTGCCATTATCTCGTGAACTACTTCGAAAATTAAAATTCTCCGAGAGGTAAATACTAATTTCAACGAGCGATCTTTCATTTCGTTAATCCATAAACTGGGGTAGCCTTGAGAATATGAGTGAACGTGATTAATAGACCTTATTCATTAAAAACACATCCTACGCGCAAAAGTGATATAAACAAAACAATTTTAACATTAGCTCTTATGGGGAATGTGATCAGAGCAGTGACCAGAGCAGAAATTTGCATTTTTTGTAATTTTCTAGATATCTTTCATTTTATACGTGAGCTACTGCTCACGTACTCGAGATTCTGCCAACGTGCCGTGCTCTGTGGGATGATATGCGCTGTGATAACAGAATACTGCAATACCGGTACCGCAAATGGCGTTCAACGAAAGACCTATTTTGGTTTTTATTGGATGTTATATATTTCATGAATTCCATGTAACTATGTACAATTGTGGTACACCTTTCAAAATCCAACGGCCTAACTCAGTTCATATGTTGACACCATGCACATATCCCAAAATTGGTGATGTTCAGGGCTGGATTTAAACCATGAGAGGCCCCTTCATGTTTTTGAGCTCAGAATTTCTCTCGAAACAACATCACATGTCATTGCTTGAAATTTAAAAATACGAGTGCATTAAACTTTCATGGGTGCAAATTTTTAATTAAAAGAATAAAAATTTACTGAGGCAGTTTTGCATTCGATTTCTTTGATCAAACAACCGCTACAGCCATACTTTTACATAGAAACTTCCAGCAGAATGCGCATAATAATTTCCCTTCTCATGATGCAAACAACGCAATAAATGCTGTTTACAACGTGATTCAAACCAGTTGTGTACAGAATTTTCTACTCTGAAAAGCTTGATATATATATATATACTTTTCGTAGGGTTTAAACTTGTCAAGTTTTCAAAAGAATTGCAAACTTCGAAACAGAATTTTGAGGCCCTAGGTTTCAGCCTGTCTAGGTAAATCCAGCCCTGGTGATGGCTCCTACAGCAAATTTCTGGCCCTAATCACTCAGCAGATTGAAATAAATGGTTTTCAACATTTATTAGCAAAGATAGATATTTTAATTAAACATATAGTTCAACTTAAAGCCCTGTATAAAGATATTATAAATATATGTTACATTATTATTGTATTGTGAAAAGGCTTTCCACACTATCAAGTCTATAAGGTTTTAGCGTCTTCCAATGTCTCAGATGGAAACTTCAGTCTTCATTTCTCATATCCTTTAATTCTTTTAATTAAAGAATTTGCACAAAGTGAGGCCACGCGCACCTACTCAGAAATCAATGAGATATAGCATTGACAAGGATGGCTTAAATATTCAAAAGGTTTTAATATGAATAGTGAGAGTAATTAGTCCTAGAAATTATTATCAAGTTGAAGAATTCGCTGTTCTCATCATTTGTTCGCTAGCAAATTTCTGTAAAAAAATATTCACTTATAACGAATTACAGTACGACAATGAATATAAATTTTTTTGAAGAATTTGCTCAAAGAAATTCCACGCGCACCCACTCAGAAGTCAATGCGACTCCTCACTGAGCAACGCTACGGACGACCAAGAATGTGCAACCTCTATTAAAACTATATATTTTCATAGTGGTGTATTGTGCTGTAATAAATGGTCGTTGAAGTCTCATAGCGTGAATAGGTCAGATTTGATCGAAATTTCTGGGTACTCCCGAAGTATGTGAACCAAGATGGCGGACACCGGTACGTAGTTTGTGTACCAGGTTAGGGTTAGGCCGACCACGTTATATACTGTATTTTCATAGTTATGTATTTCGTGCTAGTTAATGTCTGTTAACGCAAGTATTAATGATTGAAAAGGACGGATTTCATGAAGATTATTGTGCTTGCGCCAATCGAACCGATACATGAATACATCTTCAAATCTATGTGACGGCTTATTCATAACAAACTTAACAGCCAACGTGTGAGATTCGACAAAAGTTGTCTAAATACTGAAAGTATTATTAATGTATAACAGCTGTCGGTGATATAAACGTCAGGGTATACTAGAAATATGAAACTTCGATATCCGGTGACCCCTTGTTCTTGCAAAAAACGAGAAAGGGCGAGAATATAGAATACCAACTTTAGTATATCGCCGCCGAAACGATCGCTGTGACAAAGACAATCAGCGAGTATGATGAAATTAACCATTAACCAGTAATAAAACGCTTTATTGTTGACTTTTCAATGTTTCTATTAATTTCCAAATGGAGTATCGACCTCCGACGTTCTGGATCCCTGTTATGTATAAAAAATATTCATTATTCGACTATTCGATATTCGTTAAAAGTATTCGAATTATTCGATTCAAAAAAAGATTCGATTTTGCCCACCCTAGACTAACAGTCATTTAATTTGGCTTTGATTTCTAATAAGTTTGTCAAAGCGGGTCGAAATCGTGGTGGATGCAAGATGCAGTAGCTGCTTGAGATGATTGCCAGATATTTCTGGACTCTGCTATAGACTCTGTATTGATGTTCTTGTCCGCAAAATAAACGATCCTCATTGAAGATGAATGGTTTGCGAGATTTCCTCTCATTTAGCTGTTTCCCAAACAGTGTCACTTGATTTTTTTCGAGTCACCCGTTATATACTGACCTATATTGCAAGGATAATCATTTAATATATAGTTTTTGGTTCACCGATCGCCTGCAGCTGTTCTAATAGTACAAGGTGACTCAAAACACAGAACCCCAAAATTTCCCGATTACTTCTACGGGAATGAAGATAAATCACTCAAAAGTTTCAATATTCTAAGACGCTTTACACAAAAGTTATGTTTTTGTAAGAATATGATCTTAATGGACTGTTTTTTTTTATCACCCTGTACGATTTCCCTTTTTACAGGTTGCTGCGCAGGGACGTTTCTTGAAAAAAATACTTGTATGAGAAGCAAAATTCAATCACGCATATCCACAAACACACCTCATTTATTCACAAAACCTCGCAAGTTTTCTACTTCGTGACCGCACAATGAATAAAACATTTTGTTTCTTACATCACAATTTCCACGGACTCAAAATAAAACAAAGGCTAAATAATGTAGGAAGAGACAAACCATGGCGCGTGGACAAACTATTTCAGCAACTAAGATCATTTACAATTCAGAAACTCCAATTTATTATTCATCCATCCTCATCTAAATGCCAAGCAGTCAAAATATTTGTGAATGAGCATAACTAATCATTATATTCATTGGTGGGATTCAGTACTCGTTCTTGGAATGTCGAGCTATACGGCGAACCCGATTTTGTTATGTTATAGATATATACTATATAGGGTGTCCATAAAGTCCTAAAAAAATTTTAAATTGCAGAGTTCAAGGGGGAATTGCTTAAAAAGTGTAACCTCAGCTTGTCCACTTGTGGCCATTATATTATCTACAGTCAATAATAATTAGATTTAAGCAATATTCCCGTTCTACTGTTGAAATATTCAGAAATGAAATGTTATTTACTAGTTAACTGTGAATGTTTATTATTAATTAAATGACCGAAAATGTGAAACCTCGTCAAAAATTGGCGCCTGTAGAAAGTCTGGTCGCTTTGGTTAAATTAGTATTACCTCTTTGACTAGGTTAGTAGCGAGGCATTTTCAAGGGGGGTCTGAAGTTTGTAATTGCCAAGTTTAACCATCAAAGATAGCGGGTTTGGTCAAAAATGTGGAGTTTCAATAGTCTTGAGGGTCTAAAAAGCATTTCAAGATACAATAATGTATGCTATGTATTATTCAGAAAATTCCCTTTTTTTACATTTCAAAGGAGGGGGGTTACCCTGGACCC